AATATTCATTATTAATTCAACTATTGAACTAAGGTTGAACATCAACTGATAGTATGCTGATTTTTCATAAAATTCAATCACTAAATATATTTCGAATTATCTTAAAAATCGGCCACTGATTGTTTTGGCCGATTTGATATGAATTTGCTAGTTAAACTTAGGGTGATTCTTGGCTGATTTTTATTAGAAATCAGCACTTAAAAGTATGCTGATTTTTCATAAAATTCAACTGCCGAATGCTTTCCAAATTATCTAAAAAATCGGCTACTGATTGTTTTAGCCAATTTGACATAAATTTACTTGTCAAACTTAGGGTGATTGAAGGCTGAATTTTATTGGAAATCAGTACTTAAAATTTAACGAAAATACTGATTATAAGTTGATTTCCAATAGAAATCGGCCTTCAATCGCTCTAATTTCGACAATCAAATTCATGTCGAATCAACCAAAACAATCAGTAGCCGATTTTTATATATTTGACTAGTGAAGCAATCAGCTAAATTAACTGATCTTGATTCTAGTGCAGTAATTACTTCTTTAATTAGACGAAATATGGTAGCAATTTGATGGCAAGTACTAAAAAAGGTTTCATCTTTATCATTAAGTAACTTATAATCTGTATTATTTGTAATTGCATGTCAGTTTTCCTCAAGAATCTTATCAAAAATTAGTTTAGCTCAAATTATAGAATCTGCAATATTAAATGCTAAGGCCCAATAAGTTTTAACAAACAATTCTAGATTTTTACCCTGTATATTCATAGTTTTAATTCTATCACGAAGTAAATAGCTAGCAATATAAGATTTTTTAAAGAAATTAATTACTAAACTTGCATTTATTAAAGTAGCTTTAATTGATGAAATATTAGCAAGATCACTAGAAATTAAATTAAACCAATGAGTTATACATTGAATGTTTATAATTTGTGGGTAAGTTTCATTAGTGATCTGACGTGCTACTTTAACATTTGGCCCATTATCTGACACTATAGCTGAAAATTTTGATGATCCTACTTTTTCTATAATTATACTTATTTTATCTGCAATAAAAGTACCTATTTGAGAATCCAAAGAATAATCCTGAATAGCGATTAAATACTCTTTGCAATCTGGAGTTGAAACAATATAATTATATAATGAGTCATTAAACGGGTTTGTCTAACCATCAAAAGACAAAGTCAAATAATCTTGATTTAACAAAAATTTATTTATTTTAATAGAAATTATTGCAAGCTCTTCATCTAATAAACGACCTGATAATGTTTGTTGATGAGGAGGAGTATAACCAGGTTCTAATAGTTTAATCAAATTTATAAAAAAAGAATTATCAATAATAGCCCATAGTATACCACAACATGTAAAAGCTATTAAAAGAGTACAGTCTATAAGCTTTTTGCGCTCTTCACTAACTGGTTCTACGAGTTTAGGTAGTTGGTCAGAAGTTTTTTGATTTTTTTCTTTTTTTTTTGCCCTGTAATAATATAATCACCATTGTCATCGTCACTATCATTTGGAATAAATCTTTCAGCTCTTTCAGCTATCTCACGAAGAAACATATTACTAACATAATCAGAAACCTTTTTACAATGCAATGCAAGGTGGCTTTCCATTACTTTTGGTTTGCCTCTTAACCAATTCTGTTCACAATATATGCAAGTCGCATTATAATGTCCATATTTATCAGCAGCTGAACCCTTTGTAAAATATTCCTATACTTTAGCTTTTGGACGTCCACTTTTCTTTTGAAATAATACTTGTTGATTATCCGTAATATCGCTTGTTGAAGGTTCCATAATATCTTCAGAATCCATTTGATGATACAAGAAATATTTTAAATTTTGAAAAATTCTTTATTTTTTTTAAAAAAAGACATCAATTTATTTATTATTAATAATAAGTAGTCAAAATACATCATTATAAAAAGTATCATTATATTTATTACAGCAAAAACGTCATTATATTTATTAAAAATGTCATTATCGTTATATTTATTTTGAATCGGCGATCATATCATAGTAAAAATTTTTATCATTGGGATTTGGGAGTATGTTTGGGATTTGGGATTATATTTGGGATTATATTTGGGATTTGGGATTATATTTGGGATTTGGGATTATATTTGGGATTTGGGATTATATTTGGGA